TCCTGCTTTACCTGTTTGTTTATGCTATAGAAGCAGGGCCACGTGCTTCAAATCAGGGATCATCATACCCTCGCCTGTTTGTAAATTCAGCACAGTGGTTAATGACCTGTGACAGGGTACGGTTTTAGTCAATGTAAGATTTGGTGCAGGATTCCAAAATGTGTTTTTCATGTCCAATTTCCTGTCATATATATAGCTGTAGGACAGAATTTTATGTCCTTAATTTTGCAGCAATTGCCTTATACTATAAACCCAATAAAACTAACGCGGGATCGCACAAAGTTTAAACGGATGCGGCGTCAACGTCAGACCAAAGACGCCGTCAGTTGTTGGAGGAGGAGCGCCCTCTGGCGTCCTGAAGGTGAAGGACTGCAGCAGGGTCGAGAAGAACAGGAAAAGCTCCATCCTGGCCAGCTGCTCCCCGAGACACACGCGTCGGCCTGGAAATAAAGAATGCCAAGTTGTGAGAGCAGCCATAATCGCATTTATGCCCCGTATTCCAATGCTATAGACTGCCCTGAGCAGGTGTCCAATGTATTAATCCAATTAGTCCAGCACCCAATCAGCAAGAAGATTATAACCGCCCTACCATTTCGAAAGCTTGATGCCTATTGGCTGTTGCTCTCTGCATTCCAGACTGATGAGTCATTGCTATAAGGTAAGTATACTTCACTATTTGGCATAAAAAACAGTCAAAAAGGCCCAAATTATACAAATGTAAGGGAGAGTATGCCAAAAATAATAATGACTTGTTGTTGGTAGATATATGAAGTACACCAATACCAAGTTTCAGATGATTTGAGTGTAATACCAGGTCTCCAGGAAAATGGCCAAAAAAAAAGAACAAATAAAACAATTTCAAAAGCCTGTATCGAAAAAATGAAAAAAAAACGCCTGGGGGTATCTGCCCACTCTACCTTCATGGTGAGCCATAATCATTACTGCGGTTCTATAAGAATCATCTCTCGAAGCCTTACCTCCTGAAAACGGCATGAAGGACTCAGGCTTGTTGACGACGTTTCCTTCCGCGTCCAGAAACCTTCCGGGGTCAAACCGGTCCGGATCAGGCCAGTAGGCGGGGTCCATGTGGAGGGAGTACAGGTTCGGTAGTACCTGCACCAGACAAAATAGAAAATACGCCGATACACATTTTATACACACAATCTGCGAACACAACGTGTTTAGTAATATTTCGGCTTGTTTTTAATCTTTACTGACAAGGAAAGCCACATGGTGACGTACATTGTAGTTGACTCTCAGTCGTGTGGTCCCCTTTTTTTAATGAAAGGGGCATTTTTGTAACCTCACTTTTGCAAGGAGTCCCTTTTCTGCCGTCTTTTCTTTGTTTATGTATTACATAATAAGTAACGTCGAAAAGTTACAAAGAAAAGGAAAATAGTTAAGAAGTCTCTAGTCTCTTCTGTCTAGTTTTCCTTCTTTTTTTATTTTGTTATACCCCAATTAAAAAGGGAATCCGTAGCCTTTTTAAAGGTAGCAATACCTGGGTTCCCTTGGGGATATCGTATTCCCGCACTTTGACGGTCTCTGTGGGGGCGTGGGGAACCGCCAGAGGTCCGACAGGCCGGATCCTCATGACCTCCAGCAGACAGGCGTTCACGTAGGGCAGCTGGGAACGGTGGGACAGGGCGGGCAGACCCTCACCAACAACGGCATCAAGCTCCTGCTGCACCTGGTACATATGCATTGTATTGAAGTCACCCTTTAGAAAATAATGTTTGGCAGGTAGTTAATTCAGCACTATAAGGCTGCGATTGCACGGGTGATGTTTGGCCAATAAACCATTTATTATTCATAAAAACAATTTATAACATTTGTTAATTGATTTTCTAATTAATTGCTAAAACATTGTGAAAACAGTGTACCTATCTTTTACATTTTATTAATGAAAGATATGTTTTGACGATTTGGCAGTTGAGCTTACAAAAATATAGAGCTCAGAGTATGTCGGGAAACCGCCCACTGATAAAAATTGCCGACGTGACGAGACCTCCCACGCACTGGGGTTACATACAGCACAGGATGAATGAGTCATGGTTCTACAAGGAAACTCCAGCATTTCAATGTTTAACAGACCAAGTTGAGAGGAAAGCTTCGGTCTTGTCAAGTTGTCTACCTTCCTGCAATGAGCGGTGTGGCACTGAAGTGGTAGTTCACAGCAACAGCAAGAGAAAAAGTGAGTAGTTAATTGTTATTTTTTGAAGCCAAAGACAGTGCGATGCTCGTGTAATTTTGAGCACCTATCGTGCCAAGTGTTTGGTTTTCAGCATTTTCTTCCAGACTATGGATGTTGTCCAAAGTTCGGTTGGTGTGAGACTATGCTAAAGTAGTCCTCTTCTTCCTGCTCTCGGCCTGCCACTAACCATAGTTTGGGGGAGTTCGGCAGTGTTCGGGAGACCATGTTCGGCAATGGCCTCCCGAACACTAGCCGAACTCCCCCGAACCATGGTTTAGGTCGGAGCAGTCGGCTGTGGTTGGCTGGTGTCTGGGGAAAGTCTGCTACAATTACGCCAGCCGAATGTTTCAAAATGTTTAACTTTTCAGTCACTTTAACTTTTACTTTTACACTGCTATGGACGAGAGGTTCGGCCATGGTTGGCTGTTGGTTGGCTGGTGTTCGGAGGAAGATCGGGATGTAGTTAGCAGTGAATTTTTAATTACTCAATTCAACTAAAATTCAATTCGAATCGTATTGAAAGGTAGGCGTGGCCCAGATCTGGTCAGACTGATCCTGAAATTCAGCCAACCTTGGTAGGCTGGTGTTCAGGGGAAAGGCTTTTTAAAGCCTTTAAAGATGTGTAACAGGGAATTTAGCCTCGTTACACAGTATGGTGGTAAATGGTTTATTGACAAAAACACGATAAAAATCGGCCTTGCAGTATACACTGAATTGCGCCGAATTTTACATTCCACATACTCAGTAAAACAAACACCGTAGGCTAATATAATACATATACAAGTAACACTCAATAATTGACGACATGATTTTCCATACTATAAATATAGCAAGGTGGTTCGACATCAAGGAAATTAAAAACAGCATTGTGCGGAATCGTTAAAGGTTAAACTGCTCTCGAATCAAAACAGTTCTAACAGTTCAGTTTACAGTCCATTGAGGAGTTTAGCCAACATCGGCTTCGCACTCGTGGTGTATCTTTAGGTCCCTCTGGCCTGGGGTACTGGAGCGAGTTCCTCAGCTGCCGACCGTGCAGATCTCCCCGCGTAGGAGGAAGGCAGTAACACAAGCGAGGCGACTGACTAACCTTTTTTTTGCAAAGTTCAGGCAAAGATTGTGTCTGCGGTCAGAAAGAGATTCAAGTTCCAAAGTTCTCGTTCTCAAGGCTTCCGGGTATGAGGTGTACTGCCGGCCCAACACAATCCTGCAAGCACGTTTCTGGACTCGTTCTAGTCTGACTGTTTATAATTTGTCTGTTGGTGAGTGAAGCGTTCCAAACTGGGGCTGCATATTCAATCAGCGGTCTGACATAGCCGCAGTACTACAGTGACATCAAGCAGGTTCCAAATGTGCGGCTAGACCTCTCCCAAACAGCCAACTCAGTTTCCTGTCGCGTTTTGGCGTTTTTCCAAGACCACAGATTCCAAAATTTCGTTCTTAGTTTCACGGAAAGTAATTTATGACTATCTCTCTAGCCCACACCTAAAACAAAAAATGGGAACAAATGATATGCGATCTCGCCTCCTGAAAATGTCCTAATTCATTGACTGCATACAGGTTCCTGGTTGGCTGTTGGTTGGCTGGTGTTCGGAGGAAGATCGGGATGTAGTTAGCAGTGAATTTTTAGTTACTCAATTTCAACTTATATTCAATTCGAATCGTATTGAAAGGTAGGCTTGGCCCAAATGAGGTCAGACCGATCCTGAAATTCAGCCAACCTTGGTAGGCTGGTGTTCAGGGGAAAGGCTTTTTAAAGCCTTTAAAAATGTGTAACAGGGAATTTAGCCTCGTTACACAGTACTACAGTGACGCCAAGCAGGTTTGCTCCAAATGTGCGGCTAGACTTCTCCCAAACAACCAACTCAGTGTCCTGTCGCGTTTTGGCGTTTTGCCAAGACCACAGATTCCAAATGAATTCGTGACTGCATAGAGGTTCCTCGTCATTTCTATCGGGTGAAACAACACCAAACGTGTACACCATGCTCAAGGATGAAAAGAAACCAAAAGAGTTGAGTAACTTAATCTTTTATCCTACCAATCTGACTTGATTACCTGACAGTTTACCTGAATATGAATTGTTTTTCCTGATAATTACCTTCGTTAAAAGGTTACAGATCATACGGACATGATTTTGTAATCAGTTATAACTTGGGGTGTGGTGCACATTCGTTGGTTCACTTATTAGCAAAATAAAAGTCAAATTATATACAGCAGCACATGACGAAGGTATGACTATGAGGTCATGTAGGTTTGAAGGTATGATTTTTGTTACTCATTTTAAATTGAGTTTCTTTTTAAAACTTCAACATAGCCACTAACTTCAAACATCACTCAACCCTCAGACAAAGACAGGTACAACCTAAGAAGCCCTCACAAAGGTACCAAGGCGAATGTTATTTACAGACTCAAATGTGAGGAGACCAATTGTATCAACACCTACATGTCATTGGCCCAGTCGGCCGCTCAAAGTAAGATACAAGGAACTTGCAGACCTTAAGTGCTAACGGCTACTCCTCAGCCATTTTCCACCACCTACAACACAACCAGGGTCACTCTTTCAAACTGGAGTCCACGGATATCTTAGACCGCGAAACACGCTAGCGGGAACGGGGTATTGAGGCAATATACGAAAGAATGTACACCCCCACCCTCAACAGGGAAGGGGGACTTCGGGTAGATCTCTCAGGCACTTGATATTGGGTGCTCCCAGCCCCAAGGACAGACAGCATAAGCTCCTGTTCTGCACAATAGGAGCTTTCTAACTATTTTTATCATTTTGTCTTGACTTGATTATGACTTCACCACCTAGTGGTGAAGTCATATTGTTTTTGCTCACGTTCTTCTCTTGCCATTTCTTTAAATTGATTCAACTCCTTCATTTTTGGGCCAAATAACATGAAATTTGGCATGGAGGTAGAGTGGGCAAATATCCCCAGGTGTTTTTTTTTCATTTTTGTGATACAGGCTTTTAAAATTGTTTTATTTGAGCTTTTTGGCTGTGTTCTAGAAAATGTACTATAGCAGTGTGTTGCCATATTTGGGCACGAGTCATCAGAATGGCATGTAGAGCAGGCAACCAATAGGCATGCAGCTTTCCTCTATTCTCCTTGCTGATTGGCTGTTCGTATCTGATTGGGTTAACTCAATTAACACCTGTACAAAGCCATATGCCATATTGACAGTATGAACTTTATTCAAGTGTTTTGGTAGGTATGTCAAGCTTTCCTGCTCCAGTATTGGAATGCGGGGCATAAAC